TGGAACACTCTTCCGCTTATTTCTTGGACAATCGAAAAAGATGTAAAAGCGCTTACCAACAAGCAGCTGAAAATGTATCCAAAGCAAAAAGGTCTTACGATAAGTGGAAGCAAGGCTGAGTTGATTGATCGAGTTCTCACCCACGCACGCGGGAACCTTAGTGCCAGAGATGCTGTAGAAGATGAGGATTCTCCCAATTCATGCGAAGACGACACAAGCTCAAAGTCCAGTGATTCTGATGACTCTTCAAATGACTCTTCGACATACGTCGAAGAGTGATTTGAAGCGATGTACGTACATGTTTGTACCGGGGGAAGAACTCCAACAAATAAACTCGGTATGAGGGAATCAATGGGAGGAGACCTTTTTTCAAGGGAGGGGGGAGTTAGCCTTAATATTATCATTATGTGAGGGAGGGAGTTGAAATTAATTTTTGCTTAATGAGAGGGGGGTATGACTTAGTCTTGGGGCATATTTCACCCATTTCCCAGCTCCCCCTCTAAGTAATTATTGCACAGTGCCTTACATTCTTCGTTAGCACGTCCCTTGCATTTGCGTTCTTGTTTATTCCACCAACATGAACGCACATCTTCAACATTTTAACATATAAAGATCGGTTAAAACCACTGACTGGACGCAGCAAAAAATATTTATACGCTGGCTGGCGGTAGTCAATGTAAAAGGAGGAAAAAATAACTGCTGAGCGAGACAAACAATTGACAATTATTGGACGAGGTTGTTAGGTTGAGCGAAATATCGTAATTTGTCACGATTGTGATCTGCGAGACACTGACAAATCACAATATTTTGCGATAACCGGGTTCAACTGATGTCTGCTGATTAACGCTAAAGGTTGGTTTTCTTTAGCGTTGTAAGCACAAGCGCAAGCATAATAATCCTTATTTCACCGTGAAAACGGCCTTGACGCAGGCATAAGCACATGCACAAGTACAAGGATCAAGTTTTTTCCTTTTTCTTGTGCTTGCGCTTTTGCTTGCGTTTGCGCTGCAACAAGCGAAAACGAAATACCGCTCAGGCATAACACGAGCACAAGGATATTTACCACACGTGGTTGTGTTTGGCCAATGAAAACACTGGATCCAGACTACCTCGCGCCTAAACAGTTCGGAATGTTCGGATGATTTTGTTAGTGCTCGTGTTTGCGTCGAATTGGTCATCCCTGTTGCTTGCGCTTGTGCTTGCGTCGCTAGTGAAAACTAGGCTTAACCCTAACTCTAAGCTTATTCAGAACTTGAAAGGCGTAATTTTCACATACTATACCTATTGTAGTTCTGTTGATGTTTACTCCGATTTGATTTGCTATAAAAATCGAACCTGAATGTAGGTACCGATCGAGCTTTATTCATACATGTATACCGAACATACGAATAAACATTTCTTTTTGTCATAAAATTCGACCTGTTATTGACCTTATTTGAGCCATGCAGTGATGAAACTAATTTATTTAATTCATTTTATTTGTCGCTCACACAAAAAAGTAACAAAACGAAAGAACAGACTAAATTAAGGTGGGAGGAGACCTGACAGAAACTAGAAAGTTCACGGGTGACCAGGTTGAGAGAAGGAGAGGAAAAGAGAGTGAACTCCCCTATTTAGCAATTATTCCACAAGCGTTCGTTGGATATGAGATGGTAGATAGCCAACTCCAAAAAGCGCGAGTGGAATAACTGTTTTATTAAAAACGGCCCCAAAATATAGAAAACTAGACTAAAACAAAAATAAAAACGGCCAAAAAAGTCACGCGTACGCTCACCATACTTGTAGAGCATTGTACAATGGTTCATAACGCATGATAGTTAAGCCAATGAAAACTCTCGAACTGCATCAGATTCAATGATACAGTTTTAAATAATGGGCTCCTGATTTTGGATATCATAAATTTATAGGCTTTGGCTTTTAACCCTCTGAGAGCTACCTGCTATGGACCGAAGCAAAAAAGTATAATCTCTTCCAGACCTCTCACGAGCAGTTTTCTAACCTCGTTCCCAGGCTCTCTCTCCTCTCCCTCCATTAGAGGGGAGAAGGTTGCATTTTTCAGGCGCGACAATGACAGGGTCTGCAGATTTATTTATTTTTTCTGTGGCAAGTTATGACATTGTTTTCGTTGATGGTCCCTTGATTTCAGTCGATTTCAAAACTGAACCTTCCCTTCTATGAGATGTGTTCCACGAGTAATCTACAACGAACGGACGTAATCTGAAATTTACTGATGTTTTGAAGCTCATAAAATCTGATAAAATGGCTTCGCTCGAGGCTGTCGATGTTGTTATAGTCGGGGCGGGAATTTCAGGTCTTTGTGCCGCGTACGAGTTGTTGAAGAAACGGCCTCAAACAAATCTTGTCGTCCTCGAAGCTAAAGGTAGGTCTTAACTAATATCATGTAATTATTTTTACGTGGAGTCTAAGTAAGTATACGTGAAATTGCATATTTATTTTTGCTTGACTTCCACGTCAAATGTTCAACTTCAAGATCACATGCTGCGCGGCTGATGTTTTGTTTCTTCCCTGCTGTTGAACTGGTGAAGTCCTTTGAGTCATTTTTCTCTTCTTTCGCCTTTCTTTCCTAATTTTTGTTTGGGTGGGGGAAACAATGACAGCTGGAAAACGCCTATTAGACATACATGTAAACTTAGTAAGTGAGAAAAACTGAAAAAAAGTTTGTTCCTCTCCCCTCTAAATAAAAACCAAAATCACCAAAATTGATGACGAGATAGAAACCCTTTTTTCTTCCCTTAGTTCCTGTCTCTTTAATACCAAAGTTAAAAAGTTTAACTAACCTCCAGTGACATGCACATTATCTTTTAAATAGACAGGGTTGGAGGCAGACTTGACAGTATAGAGCTCAAAACTGCAAAGGGATCTGACCGATGGGATATTGGGGGACAGTGGGTTTCTAGGTAAGACTGAAAAATAACTTTTCCAGGATTGGAGTAGCCTACTGGCAGCTTAGAATGCGAGCAAGCTCACTGGGCCGTAGTGAGTGTAACAACTGCAGGAGAAAAAATATCACCTCCCCCTATTTCTTATCCTTTCTTTGGATCATGTGTGCTAAAGGGATCTGTGGTTGAGTGTTGATCGATGCTCTCGATCAACCCTAGATCAACACTCAATCAAAAATCTTGATTGATCCTCAATCAACAATAGACTGACACTCGATCGACATCTCAATCGACTCTCGATTGACACCCGATCAACAGTGAGTCAGTACCGGTAGGTGGCAGTGTCAATCAAGTCATATGAATTGATTGACACTCAATGATGTGTGTGCAAAAATTAGTTGACTCTCAACTGACTGAGATGTTGATCCAGTGTTAACCAAGTATCAGCTGAGATCACGACCAAGTGCTGACCAAGTATGACAAAATGCACACCAAGAGTGGTAAATTAAGCTATTGAACTATTAATAACAAATGTGGTGGAATAAATACTTTAATGGCATAAGACTGTGTACTCTGATTTATATATATATTTTTTGGTCAAAAATTATTAATGGGATGTGGGGTACTCCGACCCCCCCCCCCCCCCCCTTCCTGATGGGGCCTTCTTGCTAGCTTGGTTGGGTAGCCAACCATAGTGAAGGACTTGACTAATTTTGCCTGCTTGTGGAACTAGTTGAAGTTTGCCAGTTAATGAGTTAAAAATAAATAAATAAATAAATAATAATAATAATAATTATTATTATTATGATAATTTAAATAATTTGAGTTGACTGAGGTTTACATTAATTAAATTTAGTTTTCACAGTTTGGTTGAGAGGAAATTAGACACAAAATAATGTAATAAAAGATAGAGTTGAACCTCCAGTTGCAACCACCTCTCGTAAGTGACCACCTCTCTTCAGTGACCAGTTTTCCAAAATACCAAAAGTTTTCAAGTCAAATCACTATATTTGGAACCTCTTGTAAGTGACCACCTCTCGCAATTTCAGAGCTAAAAGTTTGAAATTTTTTCTTGTTTTTAACCTCCCATAAGTGACCACTTGACTGATATAATAGAGCAAAAATTGGATTATAAGGTGTTGTAACATTATCGCATTCCTGGATGATATGAGAGACAGAAATTTCTCAGTGGGAAGTACGGGATTTTTTCTTCAAATTGACTTTTCATATGAGTAAAACATTTAAAACATGGGGTACATGTAACTCTTTGCAGTTACCATATGCTAATGAGTCAAAATTTTGTCCCAATATGGTCTAAGCTCTCGTAAGTGACCACCTCCTGTAAGTGACCACATAAGCTTGACATTTTGGGTGGTCACTTAGGGAAGGTTCGACTGTATTATCATTTTGATTGTGTACTGTATAACTGTTAGCTAGTTGCTCTTTATCCTTGACTTGGATTATCTAAATGTAGCATGTTGTATTTTTTGTATTTTTTCCAGGAGTCAGAAGGTTATCACTAGTCTTCTCGAGGAGTTAGATGTTGAAATTTATAACCAGTGGAGCAATGGCAGCAAAATTATGCATGGTAGCGATGATGTAATTACCACATACTCCAGTCCATTCCCGCCGCTATCTTATGTAGCACTTCTTGACTTATGGTGGTTTACTTACAAGGTGAACACTCT